TATAAAAATAAATAACATGCTGATGCTGCTAAATTTTGAAGTGGCCATCCAGGCTTCAATTACTTCTGGTTACGAGAGGCTTAATCTAAAGAAGATTGTACAAACAGATTGTAAGGCCAGCATAAGAATCCCTGTGTAGCACCAGACCCAAACCCCAGTCAGTGAACTAAAAACGGTCTTTCCAGCAGCACAAGGCAGCTGATTGGCCTCTGCAGTTCTTACAATAGGTAATCCATGTCTAAACCTGACAGCTATGGCTTCCTCACTCCCTGGCTTGAAAAAGAAGACGTGCTCTTCGAAACGCGTAGCCGCTTTGCTCTGCCACATCACATCGTATATACCTCCGTTCCTTTACCCTCCACCGGCTTCATCCCTTAGACATACCGCTCACTGTCCCGGGTCCACTGCTCGTGCCCTCGAGCGGTGTAGTCTCATCACGCCCCCCGGCTCTCCTAGCCGCAGCGTCCATCTCCAGGCAACCACTCCAAACAGCTGCTTTCCCCCTGACACCCGCCGCTTGTCAGCGAGCGACTCAGTCTCCGCCCCCGATCCTCCCAGCGTCCAGGCTCACAGCCACTGTCCTCATCCAGCCGCCTGTCACAATTCTGCAGGCTGCCCCACACAGCTCAGCACCCGAGCTATAGCCCACATTTCTGTCCACATCCACCAAGTCCTCTTCTCACTGTGCAATCAGCATTTCTCCCCCCTACCCAATACCGCTGCCACACACAGCATCTGGACACAGGCTCCCACTGACACAGAGCCCCCCTCAGGTCCCCACGGCACCCACACACCCCCATCTGCGTTCACACATTTTGGAGTACCCCTCACTCCCACCAACCAAGACACAGCATCTTGACACAGGCTCCCACTGACCCAGAGCCCCCCTCAGGTCCCCACGGCACCCACACACCCCCATCTGCGTTCACACATTTTGGAGTACCCCTCACTCCCACCAACCAAGGATGCCCATCCATCCACCCCTCGCCGATGATAACGCGCCAACATCCACTTCTTGGTAAGTTTTAAATTCCCTTCCAGGGTTTTACCCAGTCATATGGTTGTAGCGCTTCTGTACCCCTTTTCTCTATATGGATGCAGATCAACAGCTCATTGTAGGACAGCAACAAACACACCAAGGTGGCCCTTGTGCAATTGCATCTCCCATCCTGACCATTCAATACCCAAACAGAATTCTGTCCGCCCTGATAGGAGCCCATACAAAATAGCAGTGGGAGTTCAGTAAACATTTACTAAGGACTGTCCATTTTTATTCAATTCTGCCTTATTGCAAGCATTGATAAAAATCCTAGGTATGTGTTCGGGATCATGAGTCTTGTACTCGCGTACCTTCATATAATCAACTTACCACTTTCAAAGGCATTAATAAATACAAATGATTTCCATGTCTTGCATTTCATGTACAGCTGTCATGTCAGGTTTACCACTGGAGGTGACATATACAAATGTTAATGGAAAACACTGATACATGTATAAATGCCCTACAGGAAGTTACTGTTTACTAGAATAAATATGGTCCCCGTGAGGTTTGGCTATGCGGGAATGTGACACATGCAATGCCAGCAGACAGGCACGGGTGAAATGGATCAGCCTTAACAAAAAAACATTACGTCACAAACACATGAGAGAGATCCACAGGAAGGGGGAAGTCTCTGTGTTACAGGAGCCAAAATGGTTATGTTGTTTCACCAACATACGGAAACATGAATGGGTAGCGCAAGCTTGGACTGCCTGTCAGTCTCCAAAGCATGCTGGGAGTTGGACCTCCACACAGTGCCCAAGCTTGGCATGGAGTCTTTTACAGACCAGGGCTCTTCATCAGACTGCTATAAATCGTCCTCAAAGGTGGCAGTGGGGTGAATGAGGAGGTACCATTTCAACCTGTCTGGAAGGGGAAGAGCTTTCACTTTGACATCTACAGGCCACGGCCTGAGCCTCTGGCGAATGAGGACCCTGCACAGGTGCTTTAGGGAAGGAGGCGACTGCTCCAGTTGTTTCAGGGACTGGTATAGGGCAGTCACTCGATCAGCATGGACGCTGCAGCTTGCTAGGTTTACTTCAAAGTTCCTGGGTAGTGAGATGCAAGGGGACTGGGCTATCATGAGGTCCAGCACACTTTCTGCTTTATTTAGCAGTTCCGCAGAGTCACAGTCCTCACAGCTGCCCAGGTAAGAACACAGCTTATCGAACATGATGTGGAAACCTGACCAGCAGGAAGGGCCGTGCTGAGAGCAGTTGTAGGAGGCGCCAGACTCCAGCAGAAAGCGCAAGAGTGGGAAGTGGAGCTTGAAACTCTTCAGGCACGTGTGAGTAAGGGACTCGTGGGATGGACACTCGCTGGGGTCAGCCCCGTGGGCCATTAGCAGCCGGCTGACCTGGAAGCAGAAGCGATTGATCAGCTTGGCTTCTTCTATGTCAGATCCTATGGTCTCTCCTAACAGGAAAATGATGCTGGAGAACACCGTGTCGCAGTCCTTCGTGGTGGCCTTTACATCGGCACCTGCAAAGATAAAGCACTATGAGGAAAAACAATCAGCAGCCAGAATCATTTATATCGACCTCTGGCCCTGATGGAGCTTGCCATCTACCATTCCTATAATCCCTCAATTTATTGGGACACTTTACCACTATCTTAACCCCATCCTTCCAGGCTGTACAAAAAGACTGCACAGAAATTGAGTTTCTC